TGCTGTATGTGAACTAAAGCATTGGTGTGGTTGCAGCTTCTATAGATCCTTAGATGACTTTTTCCCCTATGTTCCATGCCAAGTTCTTCTTTGGCTATCCTTCTATTGGTTTATTTGATTGTGTTCTTGAATGATTGGTCTATATATGGTGTTGGTCTGAACCCTGAAGGCTGTTATGTAACAATCAAACTCATCTAGTACTTTTGCAGTTTTGCTGTTAAATTACATGTCTAGTCATTCGGTTTATAAAAAAATTGTCACGCTTGATACTTCAAATTTTTTTCCCCAAGCCCTACTCACTTTTACTCGTTTTCTGTTTTCCATTACCATTCCATAAATCATCTTTGGCAACGGAAACGAGAAAATCTGTTTACTTTTCATTCTGTTTTCTGTTTGTTTTCAACTCTCAAAATTGAAAGTGATAAATTTCTGTTGTTTTCAAAAATGACAAAATCATATTTTTAATTTTTTTCTTTTTATTATGGGGTGAAATATTTTTTTTCACTAGTTAACACCGTGGTACCATTTTCGTTTTTAACTCAAATTTTGAAAAAATTTCACAGATGTAATGAAATTTTCGTGATCTATTAGATTTACAAATTTATGAAAAAAATACATGACCAAAATGTACAACTCCGTACCACCCTGGTATAGCCATATAGGAATGGTAACTGGTGGTACACAATGATGAATGTGGTAGAAGACAGTTCTTATATTCATATTATCATGTTATCATCCGTTATACACTCAGCTATGTTCATACCACCATGGTACACTTCAGTATCATGTGGTATGATTTTATGTAGTACCAAACATTACCACCATGGGATAGATTAGTACTAAATAAGAGTGATAATCTGTTGGTGGTTATCCGGTTAAACCGATCACCGAACCGAAATCGACAGTGATTCACCAAAATCGACAACCGAAAAATGTTGGGGGTGTCAGTAGGGGATTTCTGGCGAATTTGATTACTCAACACCATCGTGTTAACCGATAATAGCTCGGTCCACCGTAAATAACCGCCTGATATTCAGATGCTCGTCGCCAGCCCCTCTGCCCTTGCCGCCACCACCACCAGAGCTTTGCTCTGCCCCCAACCCCCATCCAGATGCTTCTCAACCCTCAACAAGATCTCACCGCCCCACATTATCCTTCCAATCTCGACCTCGCCTTCTCGATCTCCCAAATCCAGACCTTGACGCCCCAACCAGACAAGTGCCACCAAACAATATTTCACTCTAATCTTCCCGCCGGAGTTGTCGCTTCTGCCGATAAGAAAGCGGCGACGGTTGAGATCTATCGAACAAATAAAATGAAGGAGAAGAGGGTCGCTGCCAGTGAAGATAGATCGTCGGTCGCCACCGCCGTCCCTACTTTCTTCAGCTTCGGTGGTGGACGAGAATTGGAAAGATTTGAAGGGTTTGAAGCGGTCTTGGTCGCGGCCGCCGCTTCGCGTTCCAGATCTGCATGACTCAAGACTTCGACGAATCTTTCTCTTTCTCCTCCGTCGCCGAATCAAGAGTCGTCGCTCCCATGCCCTTCATCCCCTTCCTCGGTCGCCATGAAATCCTGGGTTTGACTCTATCCATGAAATCCTTCCCGTGGATCTTATCTTTTGTAGGGATTCTAAAGGAGTGGTGGTATGTGCTACTACGGCGAGTCTTTCCGGCTAGGTAATTGCATTGCGGTTTCTTTTTGGTGCAGTTACAACTCTCGGCAGGCACGTTTTCATTTTTCAAATCTTTAATTTTTTTTATTTATCCTCTTATTTTTTAATGGTAAGAAAAAAATGTTGTGGAGCCTTAATCATGGTTACTCTACTGTGTGTCTTGTGGTGATTTCTAATTGGTCATACGACGAGCAATGGAGAATGATGTCGATCATGATCGAGGTATAGCGGTGCTTGAAGAAGTATGACTGTTGAAGACCTCTTTTGCATTTGTTTCTTTTGTTTTTGCTCTTAGTAGTACTAACAGGGTTGCCTATCGCATGGCACAAACGATCCTTGCATTGGTAGCAACTCATTTGATTGACTACCACTCTTTCATTTTCATCGCACTGTAATACTCTATCTATGACAAAAAAAAATTAATTAACCACCTAAAACAAAGTCTAAGAAATTTAAAAAATGCATGGCACGAAGCAGGGCTTCGCATGACGATGATGATGGTACGAAACCCGACTTCGGACGGGTCGTCAACCTCCAAAATCCGGCTTCGGACGGGTCGCTAGCCTTCGAAACCCGGCTTTGGTCGGGTCTCCCGCCTCCGAAACCCGGCTTCGAACGGTTGCCGCCGGTGAACTGTTTTTTTTTTTTGTAAAAAATTAATTAATAGAATCGTTTTGATGAAGATGAGAGATGGAGGGAATCTGAATTCCAAAATTTTTTCCTTAACCCACATCCAACTATATTCCCTAATTAACATGGGTGGCAAGTTCTTCCAAGAGGACGGCGACCGGAGAGGGCATTGGCCAGTGGTAGAGGAATGCGGGAGGGAGAGTGAAGGGTTAGAGGTTTTTATTAGGAGTAGAATGGTCATTTTTTGTGTAAATGTGGACAACAAATAGTAATTGGACGGGCGACAAATAACAACTCTCTTATTTACAAGATAAGTGGGTGGGGGAGAGAATATCTGCATACAAGCATAGATAGGCAAAGAGAGAAAGAGAGAGACCTTTTGGAAGCTACGTTGGAGGCGGAGGCGGATACGTTTCAACACCATTGATGATTTGGGAGTAGATCTAGCTATCTTAACCTTAGGAAGTCAAGAAGAAACAACCGTGTTCATTAGGTTGTAATTTGTAAATCTAGCCAATCGTTGGTAACTCAAAGATGGGAAGGGGATGACTACTCCCTAATCAACCATAGACATCTTATACGACCTAGTCTATACCCGAAAATCAGAAAGAAACCATGCCGATTGGAATTCCATATTGACAAGGTTGATCGAGGGAGAGAGAGAGAGAGAGAGCACACGCGCTCAAGGAACATAACGAGGGGTGTGATTCTCCTGGAGTACTCATCTATAAGTCTCTGGAAAAAAATCGAGTTAACTTCCGATGGGTTGGACCATAATCGCCTGATTTAGAGGTTTCCGATTTCCTCTGATATGGAAGACAAGGATCGAAGACAAGGATCGAGAGGAGGGGATGACTGACACAGCAAGACTGATAAGTTTTTTTCAAAATTTCCCCCGGCAGATAGAATGTGTCATGGAGGAGTATCGAAATGGGGCGAATTGGGCCAATTCATGGCCCCTTGTTAGGTTGTTATGCGCGGTCCGGATGAGGTAAATTTGGGCCGATACATGGCCATGGTGGGCAGGGCAAGCAATAACTATAGGCCCCATTCACTTCCATTCCGTTTTTCTTTGATTTTGACAACAAAAAACCGAACCTGGAAAAAAGGAAGTCGCCATATTCTGAGAAACAATTCTTGAAAACCCGCTTAGGTTGAATTTTTAATGAATCTAGAAACTGTAGTATGAAATTGGAAACATGTTTAGTTGGTCACTAAATCTGAAAATGAGAATATGTTTAATTTTCTTGATACTAATACATACTGCAATATCAAATAAGTAGAAGTACAATCACAAATCTCAAAGGATTTCAGTTTTGCATTCACCCCACAACTTGTCTAATATTCCATCACATCGAATATCCATTTGTCCTGATCGGCTTGAACTCATATTGTACTCTTCTCTATGTCGTCATTCTTAACTTGAGCGGGCCATACATCATTTCCCTCTACCACCATACAATCACTATAATTGACAACTTTCATTATTCTCCATGATTCAAGCTATACAACAAATAACAACCATGAAATTATAACATTTGTTTTAAACTTGGGGATTGGTTCCATCATGCAAGCTGAATTGAGAGGCGTTGTAGGAGGTCTTCAGTTGGCTTGGGATATGGGCTATCAATGAGTATGAGTGGATCTTGACTCCAAGTGTGTCGTTCAGCTTCTACAGACCAGTGGTAAGTCCGACCATCAGCATGCAACCACTATTGATTGTTTTAAGGCCCTCCTTGGGCGGCAGTGGGAGGTCTCGATACCCGTATTTATAGAGTACAGTGTGTTGACTTCTTAGTAAGTTGTGATCACTCCCTGCATTTGGGTTTTCATGTATTTCGAGTTTATGATTTCAACTTACATCATCTTCTTATGTATGACTGTCAAGGACTTTTTGAGTCACATTTAATTGTGAATGGAAGCTAAGATTATATGCATTCATTTATAAAATAAAAAAGGTGAAATCACCCTACGAATCAAAGGACCCTAATTCTAAAGATGTCAACAATAGAGTTTTATGTGTCACTTTATAAACTACCAAGTTGCCAATCCACGAAACCACCCTAAAAACTACAATAGGAATATGACTCCAATAACTGACGACACTCTCGAAGCAGGGTATTGTCCAATGTCCAACAATCTTCCACCGACCTTTGTTCAAATTATCGAATCAGCACCTCAGAGTCAACTTCCCGAAGTCAAGAAAAATAAATATTCATTGATACATAATCAAGAAAATATGGGTTAATGCCATATTTGGTCACCGTGATTACTAAATTGTGTCATGTTTAGTCACTAGAAAAAATTAATATCAAATTTGGTCACTCTAATTACTGAAACAGGTCATGTTTAGTCACTCTCCGTTAGTCTCCGTCCAACTCCGTTAAGGGAGTCCGTTATGTGCTGACGTGGCTAACGGGAGCGCCTAGTCAGCATCATTTTGGGTCAGAAATGGTCAAACCCGACCCGCCACGTTACTAAACCCGCCGTGTCATACACCCAACCCGAACCAAAACCAAACCCTCACCCACTGAACAAAACAAGATTGGAAAATCGATTGGGTTAGTGGCCATTTCAGACCAAAACCCTTTCTCCTTCCTCGCTTTGCTCCTTTCTTGAATTAATCCCCCACAAATAAATCCCCCAAATTCGTCAAAAACCGGAATCCCTAGAAGCACGTACGTTCGATTGAAGCAAGATGGCGATAGCTCGATGGAAGATCCAGATTAAGAGTATCCAGAACTCGACGAACTGGCAGGTGACTTACTCTAAGCGCCGCAAAGGGCTCTTCAAGAAGGCCAACGAGCTCACCGTCCTCTGCGACGCCAAAGTCTCCAGCACCGGCAAGCTCCACGAGTTCATCAACCCCGCCGCCACGTCAGTCTACATCACCTCTACTTTCATTCAATCTCTCCCTTCCTCTCTCCGAAACCCTAAATTCCCGATTCCATATGAGAGCGAGTTGAATCCGAGTTGATCAGTCTTCGTCTTCGTCTCGGAAGTTTCAATCCAAGCTTGGATAGCACAACTTTTCAATCTCGTTGAGCTGAGCGTCGGATTTTTGCTTTTGTTTTTGTTTGTGTGGTTTGGTTGGGAGCGCAGAAGCAAGGGGATGTTGGATCAGTACCAGTGAGCTCTCGACGTAGACATCTGGATTACTCACTATGAGGTCCGGTCTCTCTTCATCTACTTCTTCCCTCCTGTCATCTTCCATGTTTGCTGAACGAGAGGACGGACCTCACTCTCCCTCTCCCTTAATCAATCTCTTTGTATGAGTGCAGAAGATGCAAGGTCAATTGAAGGAGATTTTTTATGATGAATTTGAGAATTTATTGGTGGGGGAATTGATTCGAGGAAGGAGAAAGGGTTTTGGTCTGAAATGGCCAATAACCCAATCGATTTTCCAATCTTGTTTTGTTCAGTGGGTGAGGGTTTGGTTTTGGTTCGGGTTGGGTGTATGACATGGCGGGTTTAGTGACGTGGCAAGTCGGGTTTGACCATTTCTTACCCAAAATGGTGCTGACTAGGCGCTCCCGTTAGCCACGTCAGCACATAACGGACTCCCTTAACGGAGTTGGACGGAGACTAACGGAGAGTGACTAAACGTGACCTGTTTCAGTAATTAGAGTGACCAAATTTGATATTAATTTTTTCTAGTGACTAAACATGACTCAATTTAGTAATCACAGTGACCAAATGTGGCATTAACCCCAAGAAAATATATTTATTTCCTGGCTAGCGGGGCCACGTATCGGCCCAAATTTTTCCCAACCGGCCCGCGCGTAATAGGGGCGTGTCTTGGCCCAATTCGTACCATTCTGATACTTCCCCGTCACATCGAAAAAGTTAATTTGCTAACTACAAGATCCGTTAGCAGATACTAACGCGGTCCAGATGATGGCCACGTCGGTCCAGCTTTGATCCAAGGGTGAGGGAGTTAGCCCAGCCGTGGCTCACTTAAGTGATCTATTTTTGGACTTTTTCGCACAAGTCGGCCCAGCCGACATAGCTAAATAAGGTGGCTCGGGCAATGTTCAAGAAGACGCTGGGCGCCACCTAGGCGAGGAGGCACCGCCCAGCGCCCAGGCCGATTAGTCGTTGCCTAGGCGAGATTAAACGTCGAAAAAAAAATATGATAAATATGTAAATTTAGAGTGCAAGATCAAACATAACATTCATAAGTTCACTGATTTGCAGTTCTGTAACTGACAATATTCAAGATAACAATCATTCAAGATAACAATTAAAGATGGTCCTTCTCCGGGCCGCGGTCTCTTCACGGACATTTTAGTTCTTGGCATTTTTCTTTCTCTTTGAAACACAATAGTCGAAAAGAGTCAGCTCTAACAAGTATCCAAGCACCGCAGACAAACGTCTAGACATAAGAGAGATAATATCTTGACCTAAAAGAGCTAATATCGACAAACTAAAATACAAAGAGACCAGACATCATTTAACCAATATCTCTACCTCATAGAACTAATATCAGTGATATAATATCCATACATGGCACAGTAATATCAAAACCTAGCATATAAATATCCATGCATCACATAACTAATATATGGACAATCAACCACCAAACAGTATTCACATTAAATAAAATAGTATCCCAGGTCGGCTAAATAATATCCCAGGAAAACAAATTACCAAATTAACGAGCAAAACCCAGAACCCCCGAACAATATCGACATTCAACAAACTGGTATCCCAGACATGATAAATAATATCCCAGGTCAACAAAATACCAAACTAACGAGCAAAACTTAGCACCCCCAAACAATATCGATATTAAAAAAACTGGTATCCCAGACATGCTAAGTAATATCCCAGGTCATCAAACTACCAAATTAACGAGCAAAACTCAGAACTCCCAAACAATATCCACATCATCAATAATTAGCATCCCAGGTCTGCGAATAATCATATACCAACAACCTAACAAATTTCCACCAAAACCCAGACCCCCAACTCGAATCCCAGGGCACACAACTCGGACCCCAGAGCCACCAACTCGGATCCCTGGGCAAATAAATCAAATCCCAGATACCCAAAAACAAAACCAGATCTCCTAAGTTGACGTAATATCAACAACAAAACCCATGAAGTCCATCCAAAAACCGAAACAAAAGAGAGAACCCCCAAATCAAATCAAGGAAGAAAACACCTACCTCAACAGCGTCAATCGTCTTCATTTTCTTTGTTCAGCGACCACTACAGTAGCCGGATCCACCTTTACCGTCGCGTTGCCGTCAAAACCATCATCTTCGTTGCTGTGAAAGTCGGCGTTGTTGTTGCCTTGAAAGTCGTCACAGAAGAGGTTTTGTGGTGGTGAGAGGGTTTTGTTATCGGGAGAGAAAGGGAAAAGGAAGGATTTTTATTTTATTTTTAGAGAGAGGAAAGTGACTGACCAAATGACGGGGAGAGAAGTGAAAAGTGGGTTTATTTGAATTGTGGGACCCATTTTTTTTTGGAAGGTGCGGATTGGCTTCAATCAGCCGAGCGGGTGAGCTGTCTACACCTCCTCAAATGCCGACGCCACTCATCTCCCGCCGTCAGATCGTGGCTTGCCTGAGATGGACAACCATCCTACTCTATGAATATCTACTAACAACTAACCTTGTTATCATTATTAACGAGGAATTTTATAATGCTATATAGTATTGGTGTTATAGGTTTTTGCTTTTATGGTACAACTTGAAGTTGTACGTTTAACGTTATGGTACAACTTTAGATTGTACCTATACTATTTTGTATAAATTCTTTTATGTTACAACTTGAACTTGTATCTTTATTTGATGGTACAACTTTAAGTAGTAAAGTTATATCATAACATAAGGGTACAATTTTTTTTATGCTACAAACTAAACTTGTACATTTAACATTATGGTACAACTTTAAGTTGTAAATTAAAACACCAATTCTTTGTAGCACAGTACAAGTATTGATTAGCATATTGCCATTTGCCATCACCTAATCTAGTCTCCCAAAAAAAAATGGATTTATAGGTATAATATGCCCCTTTACTATGACGTTTTATCATACATGCCCCTCTACTATTTTTTTACATCAAATATGCCCCTGTACTTTATAAAAATGATCAAACATGCCCTTTTGTTAAAATTTTCATCTAAAAACAGTTAACCAAGGACGAACTTTAGTTTGGTCGACACAAATGACTAAAATATCCCTTTTAAATTCACTTTAGAATTTTTTAGTTCTTTTGCATAATCAAATAATTCAAATAATTTCACTTTGAAATGACCAATGGAAATAAAACAGGGGACAAAACTGATATTTTCTCTCCCATTTGCCGGTGTCGGGTCGTCTAAATCTCGGTTCAACCATGATTGACGATGTTTTCAATGGAATTTTTTTTTTTATGAATCAATGGGTTTCATTTCATCAAAAAGTAGCGCTAGCAACAACCTTGTTAGCTAGGTGAAGTTTCAATACATATGCACTAAGTACAAAGACACTAAAGATAAACTAAACCTCTGAGACAAACCTACCCCCAAAATTGAGCAACCCTATGGCTTCCCAGGAAACATTCCACTTCACTCCTGATCAACTTCAGCAACAAATTAGCAGCAAGTGCTTTACCAGCATACAAGCGACGACATCTCTCTCTCCAAATGTTGCTAACCCAACTCTGCCAAACAACCCTGCCAACCTCTGCCAGCTCAGTTTGTGCCTTGAACTTCAAAACAGCCCAAGTCACCTCCTCAGTCCAGCTCTGCACATGAGGAATGTACATCACCCTTCCAAACAGTGAGACATGCACCTGTCTGGAAACCCTACAGTGAACGAACAGATGATCTCTGTCCTCCAACCCAGAATCACAAAGACAGCACTTCATATCTCCTGCATACCCCCAGCCCTGCATTTTAGCTTTTGTATGAATGTTATTTCTCAAAACCAGCCAAGTGAGGATTCTATTTTTAGGAATCCCCTTTCCTTTCCAAAGAATCTTCCACCAGATAACATCACTTCCAACAGGTCTAAGCAAATTCCAGACTCTTTTTATAGAAAACTTTGGCATAGGAGAACTGTCCATCAGGATTTCCTCCCCTCTAAATGAGATGAAAGCACCCACCTTAAACCTCAGTTTTAACAACTTTTTCCAGTTCTATGAACCAGAAGAGCAAGTATATGTCCAGAAGTTTCTCCCTTTCAACTTGTATCTATTAACCCATGCTACCCAGATAGAGCCCTCCTGCATCAATATCAACCAAATATGGCGCGTCATACAAGTCTGGTTCCAACTAGTGAGCTCCCTGAAACCCAAGCCCCCTTCCTTTTTAGGGAAAGTAAGGTACTTCCAGGCCACATTGGCCCGCAGTTTCACTCCTGCTTCCACACCCCACACAAAATCACTACATATTTTCTCCACTGCCCTGATAACAGATTTTGGAAGGAGGAAGACAGACATCCAAAACTGTGTCAAGCTATAAAGAACAGAACCAACCAACTCAACACGCCCTGCATAAGTGAGGGATTTTTCCTGCCAGCCTCTCACCCTGGCCAACATTTTATCAATCAGTGGCCTACAGGCTGTTAAACTAAGTTTCCCCGAGATAAGGGGAACCCCCAAATAACAAACAGGGAAAGATCCCAACTGGTATCCAAACCTCTCAGATCTAACCTTGCTTTCCTCTTTATCAATCCCCCCAAAAAATATCTCACACTTACTTGGATTTGACTTTAGACCTGACAATTGTTTAAACTTAGCCAACACAGTCTGCAGTTCTTGAATACCAGAGTTTGAAGCATCCGAGAAAACCAATAAATCGTTAGCAAAACACAGATGTGTTAAAGCCACTCCCTTACACATAGGATGAAAAGGAAACCTTCTTTCAGCAGCAGACTTATCCAGAAGGCAAGAAAAAACTTTCATAGCTATTGAAAATAGATATGGAGATAGAGGATCTCCCTGTCTAAACCCCTTCTTGGCTGGGAAGTAACCCACTAAACCCCCATTAAAGCAAACACTAAGCATGGGAGTCCCTACACACATCTGAATCCAATTCACAAATCTTTCAGGGACATTCATACACCTCAATACTTGAAAAATAAATCTCCAATCCACTGAGTCAAAAGCTTTCATCAAGTCGATTTTAATAGCACATCTAGGGGATATGTTCTGATGAGAGTATTTGCTAACTAACTCATGAGCTAGCAAAATATTCTCACCAATCAATCTTCCTTTCACAAAAGCAGTCTGGTTTTTGCTAATCAGTGAGGGGAGGAGAGGACTGAATCTGTTTGCTATGAGTTTTGAGATGCATTTATAAAGGATATTGCAACAAGAGATTGGCCTAAAGCTTTTCATTTCATCAGGGTTAGCAACTTTTGGAATCAAAGCTAAAACAGTTGCATTAATAGGTCTAGGAATTCTATCTTGCTCAAAGCAGTACCTGATAGCTTGACAAACCTCTGGACCAATTAGAGGCCAGGCATAATGGAAGGAAGATGCTGAGAAGTCATCTGGCCCTGGACTTTTGTCACCATCCATTGCAAAAATTACTTCCTTGATTTGATCATCCGAGAAAGGCTCACAAAGATCAACTATCTGCTCCTCAGTTAACTTCCTTCTCAGCAAAGTTGTATAATAGTCATCAGAATGAACAACTACATCTGGATCTTCAACCCCTAGCAATCTCTGATAAAAACGTACTGCTATTTGAGCCATCTCCTCGACATCTGTAATTTTTTCCCCATCTTCATTTTTGAGAAGTCTGATGGTATTTCTCTTCTGCTGAACTCGGACTGGTCGATGGAAAAATGCTGAGTTCATATCGCCTGTCCTGAGCCAATTCTCTCGGGACTTCTGCTTATAAAAGGTTTCCTTAGCATCCATCAGAATTTTCAGCTCCAAACTCAACTTCCTCTCTTCTTCAAACAAGTCTGCAGTTGGGGTAGCCAGAGCTTTCTGCTGAATGTCAATAACCTCTCTTTCTTTTTCCTTTACTCGTTCAGATAAATTTGAATACTCTTCACGATTCAACTTCCTCAGCAGGTTCTTTAGATTCTTCAACTTCTAACTCACTCTGATCAGAGGATGCCCAGTAACATTACTTCCCCAAGCCTCCTCAAGCAACTCATCAAATTTAGGATGTTGAATCCAGAATTTGAAAAATTTAAAAGGCTTTGGGATGGACTTCAATTCAGCTTCAGTATCAACATATATGGGACAGTGGTCAGAGACCCCTGGAGCCTGAAAGTGCACCTTACTATCCTTAACTGAATCCAACCAGGGAAAATTAACTAAAACCCTATCCAATCTCTTGGCTATAGGGTTGGCTGCCTGTTTATTCATCCAGGTGAACCAAGGCCCTGTGGCCTGATGCTCCTCCAACTCCAGGTCAGTGATCCAATCATTGAAAGTAGTCATGGAAACATCAACCCTAGGATCATTGGAAGCTTCAGCAGGATTCCTAACATCATATTTGATAATTTTTTGAAAGTACATGTGCATATTTGAGATAAAAAATAGGCAAAATACACTTCTATATCCATAACTTTCACGTTTGTGACAAATATATCCATAACTATCGAAATACACGAAATACCCAGAAAAGCGTACTATCGTGTGACAAATCTATCCATTTCTGTTACAAACTTTAACGCCGTCAGTTATGTTAGTTATACGCTGACTAGGACGCCAGATCAGTGCACACGTCATCAAAAAATCAACACCAAATGACACGGAAATTACACATCATATTTAATTACATATATTTAATTTTAAGAAATAAAAAAAAATCAATTTCGTAACTCTGCCCCAACTTCTCCTCTCCGCCCCAACTTCTCCTCTCCGCCCCATCTTCTCCCCTCCGCCTACTCCCACCGCCAAAGCAGACATCAAATCCGCCACCACTCATTGTCGACATCTATCCGCCACCACTGCTCACTCCCACTGCCGACATCAAATCCGCTAACACCGCCCACTCCCACACCCAAAATAAAATCCGCCATCAATACGTTGAACTTGTTAGCCTTCTAAACACCCCTAATCGCGGCAGCTAGCGGCGGCGCGGCGGAGTAGGTCACGACCTCACAATCTGAAACTCGCCAAAATCAGCGTTCTTCTCCCGAAGATGCTTACTCCTGCCTTCTCATTCCCTGTCGATGTTGGAGTTAAAGGTAGGGCAGGTGGAGATCGATTGAAGCGGACCACGACGGCGATGATGCGAGCGACAAGGGCATCAAAGACGGTGATGCAACTTCGAGGAATGATGGTGACGACATCGAGGATCTGCTTCGCACCCGCTAGCTCCATCGCCGCCAGCTCTCGCCCCTGCTTCCAGTCAACACCAATTCCAAAATCGCAGACAAAGCCCCCGCCGGCGATGGCGTCTACCCCAATCTGAACCCAAACTCCCTATTGACTCTAATGACGACGGATCTATTGGTGAAGACTCTGGAGTCCTAAGATTGAGGAAGACGATTAATCGTGTTCCGGTCGCATTTCCAATGATTTGGTTCTGGATCTGGATTTCGGATCCGGGAAGAAGACGACGAGGTAAGCTACACGCCGTTCAGGAAGAACCCGGTGGCTTCTAACTCTACTTGCGCCAATCGTCGTCAAAGGAAGCACAAGAAGGTTTCGTCGGAGTATTTGGAGCTCGGTGATGGAAGGGTTCTGGGGCGAGAGGAAGACGAACAGGTTGGGCGATCTGCAGGGTTCCATTTATTATTTTTTAGTTTAAATTTTTAAAGTTAAATCCTAGCATTTTTTATTTTTTTATTTTTCTGTTAATCCAGATAGATGGGTGGGGACGGAACTTTGCCAACTCAGCTATTCCGTTAGTATAGTCATACTCTTAACCTGACACCGTTAAATAGATGGACGGAATTGGGTATTTCGTGTATTTCGATAGTTATGGATATATTTGTCACAAACGTCAAAGTTGTGGATATAGAAGTGTATTTTGGCTAAAAAATAATAGAAGGACATGTTTGATAAAACGTCATAGTAGAGAGACATATTATACATCCAACTCATCGGAAGTTAACACAAAATTTCTTTTCCAGAGACTCAGAGATGGATACTCCAGGAGAATCGCTGCCCTCGGTATGTTCCTTGAACGCGCGCTCTCTTTCTCTCGATCGATCGACCTTGTTAATATGGAATTCCATTCGACATGGTTTCTTTCTGATTTTAGGGTATAAACTGAGGTAGTGTAAGGTATTTATGGTTTGATTAGGGAAGAGTCCTCCCCTTCCCTTCGCATTTTTTGAGTTACCAACGGTTGGCTAGGGTTACGACCTAATGACATCTTTTGTTTCTTCCTGATTTCTTAAGGTTAAGATAGCTAGATCTGCTCGCAAATCATCCATGGTGTTGAGACGTAGACAACTCCGCCTCCGACGCCGCTTCCAAAAGGTCTCTCTCTTTCTCTCTTCGCCTCTGTCCTTGCTTGTATGCAGATATTTTCCACCCACTTCTCTTGTAAATCATATGATGTCGATCCTATTTGCATCCAATAAACTCTTGTGTTTCAACATTCCCTGCAAGTGGGTTCAAGACGATTGAAGTTATTTCGAGTGATTTAATTGTGTGGATCGTGGGTTCCAGACTTCTATGGCAATTGAAATAGTTTCTTCTAATTTTAGGAATTAGAGTGCGGTTATCTATAATAACTGTGCTTGATGAAAAAAGTAATTCCCTTTGTTTGCCAATAGCTCAGGTTGCAATGTACAGTTCGATGGTTTGTCATTAAGAGCACTATCTAAGAGTTTTGCCAGCAGTCACGTATAATATCAGATTTTGTGTTTCCCACTACAATCTGTTGCAACTATCTTTCACTGGTTTAGGAGTCTTCTGATAATTAGGAGAAACTTCTTCCACCCTTCTCCTTTTTAAGTGCACGTTAGGAAACCTCGTTTTGTTTGACAAAGAGGACTTGTAGATTATTTTTAGACGGTGCCTCCTTCACCCTATCTATTAAAACCCTAAGTTTTTCTTCTTCTAAATTCTTGTAGCCTATTAAATCAAATGAATTTACAGCAACCTCAATTGAGGAACTCATGAACTCTTTACTTTGTTCCTGTAATACTCAGCTATCATTAGAGTCAAGAAAAGCTGAAGCTCCGACCGATGGTAACACTTTGTCTTTCTATTTTATTCTCTAATACATATGGTAATATCTTCAGTATCTGCCCTTATTAGTTCTTTTCACCTTACTTTTTTGCAGCTCTGCAGCAAGCTGATGTCGCTGGCGCATCTGGTATAGGATTGGCAGGTAGGCAGGAAAACAAGAAGAAGAAAAAGTTAAAGAAGCAGATCAAGAAGGAGGAAAAGTTGACTCTTGCTGAAATAGCCGAGGAATATCATGATGGGAATGAATGTAGGAGGATAGGTGAAGCGATGCGCCAATGGGCCGAGGGTAAAAAAAACTTAGTTGTACTTATTATTTGTCTTAGGTTACCTTTTAGTTAAGACCTTGACATTAGTATTACTCTTTTTTTCTTATTATGCGCATTAATGATTTCTTCCTTTTGCAGAATATGAGTTTCAACGTGCTCAATCGCGACGGCGGCAGATTGTGTATGAGGTAGGCGAATTCTTCACAGCTACCTTTAACATATATATGTACATGTTATGGAACATCCTCTTGTATTTGACTTTCTCGAGTCTCAGCTGTATGGATTGGCTAGAATGATATTACTTCTTTCTGCAAAGATAGAACCATAGGATTATAGTACACTAACATGATTTGGATACCTCTAAGCCTGATTGTCAATAATGCTTATAGACGTTGTCAGGTCATTCTAGGCTTGAGATCGTTTTTTGTTTTCTTTATATTTTGGCCAAGTTAGGTCAGTTGTCTTTATGAATTAGCCGATTAATTATGACACACATAGTGTATTTCCTCGTTACGGTTATGATCTATAAATGTTGCAGGAGGACCCGTTGGCACATTGGCACACAGTGGATGTCAGTCCTCTTCTTGATTCTCCGCCTGTGACGCCTTAAACATCTCTGTGCTGGAGTTGTCTGCCTCCACTGCCTTTCCTTCTGCTTTGGACTTGGCCTTCATCGAGCAAGTTCTCAGATTGAAGTTTGCTGGTGCCCCATTAGGTTACTGTGTGCGAACTGAAGCAATGGTGTGTTTGCAGCTTCTATAGATCCTTGGTGACTTTTTTCATATTATCCGTGCCAAGTTCTTCTTTGGCTATTTGTCTTGGTTTATTTGATTGTACTCTTGAATGGTTGGTCTATGGTGTACGGTTTATAAAAAAATGTCACGCTTGATACTAAAAAAACATTTCACAAGTCATTGACTTCACACTTAGTTTCATTGATGGTCACTTGTCTAATTCGTTAAGTTCATCCTTGGTGTTGGTGATCATCTTAGGTGGCCATCTTGATGTGTCAATTTAAAAAATGAAATACAAATCAATAAAATTTTGTTTGGATAAAGGGTTTGGATTTGGTATTTGTGATTTGGACTTCTAAATGTTATATCATTTGTTTGGATATTAATTACATTTGATATTTGGATTTGTGTCAAATTCATGAGGTGATTTCCAAATTCATGTCTAGTGTATTTCTTGTCAACTTCAAGTATATTTCAACAACTAGTGATTTGAAATTCCTCCTAACAAAATTTTGGACCTATTTGTAAAATTGTAAAAGTTTAGGTACTATAGTGCGAGGAAAAAGTATAAAGGTATCAAAATGTAATTTTGCCATTAAAATTTCTGGGTCTTTTTGTAAAATTTTAAAAATTTAGGCACTAATTTTTAAGAAAAATACATTTGTACAAGTGACCAAAAATTCAAAATTAAAATAAAAAATTATAAAATCTGAAATACAAACAAATTACAACTGAGTATCCAAATAACGAATTTGAATTACATCTATTTTAAATGCTAGTATTTCATATATATGTATTTCAAATACATCTATCCAAACGAAACGCATCCTTAAATCTTTCCATAGAATTTCCTATACATGATCTTTCAACCTGATCTTCCATTTTTACGAGTTCTCAATCACTTGGTTCATATTTTTGGGAGGTCACTAGGCAGTAATGATGCATTGATTTCCCTTTTGCTTCATGTTCCAGCTTTCGTCAAGAGGAGCTCTGTGTGTGTGGCTCTTTAAGCTTTATTGTGATCCTACTAACACAGAGGGGAGTAGACCTCTTGGGGTTTGATGGGAAGCTAGATTAGACAAACAAGCTAGAATTCTGAAATCGCTTAGAATCAATCAGTGATACGTTACAGGTCAGTAGCTAGACCGCTTTGAAATCTTGATTTGTTTTGTTTCCATTTCAGCAGGTGATGCATGGCTACTGAACCGAGTCAGATTTAATAGGATACGTTTCAGTTTAATGTGAGTTAGTAGATCCGTTGTTTCATTAGGTTAACTGGACACTCTTTTACTTTTATAGTATTCACTCGGTTGTCGTACAAGTTCACTTACAATATTGATAGTTATAGTTGCCCTGTGTGAGTAAACGGGTTACAATGTCAGATACATTGAGATCTCACTCTTCTCTGCTTCATGTTGTATCTAGATTTCCATCTCCTAATGCTTGCTTGTGCGGTTATCTAAGCTTCTTTCAATTGTTCTTCATTCCAGGCTAGCTACTTCTTTCAACGTTTGTCTTTGGTGTTGATTCTGCCGCTTCAAGGTAAAAACACAATTTCTCCTATCGCAGCAACGTAAAAGTGTCACATATGTTGCTAAATGGTTCGATTCATGATAAATAGTTGTGTATCCAGAATCTCCTATCTTGACTACAAATCTTCTACCTGTACCTCAACTGAAGATCTGTGGTTCTGCCTACTCTAGGGGCTGTGAGGCAGCCATGATTTTCATATCATTCTGTTAATGGATTGTTTTGGTTTTCGGGTTGGGTCTACTTTTTGGTGTTATGCACATATGTAGTACCCACGGCGAGTTTTATGATTCAGAGATGCGGCATATAAAATTGGCAATCTCAGGAAAATATCATTTAATGTGGTTCTGATGGACTATTACTATAGAGGTGAAAAGGGATCCCAATTTGCCGGCCTGGGTTCATGTGCTTTAAGCCCAAATGCTTAAGCATATTGCTTAAGTCATTCTATTGGTTGATAGTGGATTAAATAATTAATAAGGAGTTAGTAGTTAATAGGTAGTTGAGGATAAATAAGGTTATTATGCAAATATAATTGATATTAATAATTGATTATTCTATTTCTCTCTCCTCACATAACTTTCTCCATAATCCTCTCTCTCCACTACAATTATGAGAAAATCTGAAATTAATTTAATTATATTTTATTATTTAATAAAATTCAAACTAAATAGTTTTTCTCATTTTAAAATGGAAATTGAAAATTAAAAATCCGCTCTCTCACTTCGTGACAACATTTCGCAATGACATTATCATCGCTTATGAAATAAATTATTATTACTCTATCTTATAATTATTAACGATTTCAATATACGTATCAATTCTTTACTATTATTTAAGAATTTGGGATAAATTGTTATCAATGTTTATTAGCTTCTAAAATGTTTTTATTAATTATTTATTTGACGTGTTTGGTGATTATATTTAACATTTTCAATTTTTCATTAATTAGTAACGTCATGTCATGTGTGAGCATATAGTTTTCATTATCAAATGTTTAATAATCGTTATTAAATTTTACATGACTTGTTAATAGAACACTTTATGACATTATTAGTTTTGAACTTTAGTAACCTTTAATAAGCACACACTAAATCATTGATAATGACTATATTTAGTTGGAAATAAATATTTGTGTATTCAATAAAAACATAATGTTTTGGTTTTTGATGTTTTCGTTATCAATAAATTTTTGTTACATTATTAACGGTTTGTTGCATCTCTATCAACCTAGGAGCTTATGTTTTCCAATTTGGACGTCAGATTTATAAACTTTTTGATGAAGTGTACTATTTGTTTTTATTGTTGTTATCAACGTTTATGAAAAATGTCAAACAATTACACCATCAAATTTGATTGGTTCATTATAATCAATCCAAGGTACTGTTATCAACTTTTTGCAATGAATTTTCAACGATATACAAAAACATTATCATCATCTCCTAAATCATTTTTTGTTGTTTGTTAATGAGTTAAGGCTCATTGTTAACAATCTAATGTAATGTTATCATTGTTGATGTAATGTAAATTGTTATTAACGTAATAAAATATTTAAGGTTTTAATCATTATAGCCGAGCATTATAAATTTTTTATTGAATTAATAATAAAATATAGTTAAATTATCTATGTTTAATATATCATGATATCATATGTTGTTTGTTAATGTATCATGATATCACGTAGTTGTTACAACTTACAATTTCACTTTCACGTTAAAAACGTTAAGCAACTCCCACCAAAATGTTGTTAAAGTATATCATAATTAATAGTATTAAAATCATTAAAAATTGACCTAAAACATTTATAATTTTCAATGAAATTTTTGGGATGAGAACGTCACGTTTACGTTAAAAACATTAAGCAACTCTCATCAAAACGTTAACAACGTGAAAGTATATCATTACTAATAGTTTCAAAATGTTTAACAGTTAACCTACAATATTTGCAATTTTGTCATGTACTGTTAATAGTGAACATTGTCGACGTTTGATGTATCATGATATCAGTTGTTGTTTGTTTGTCGAAACGAGTGAGACGTCTTTGAGAGCCCATTACTAATAGTATCAATAATGATAATGTTGTGAATCAATGATATTGTGAATCATTAGTAAAGATGTTGTAATCAATGATTCATTCATAAACGTTGATGATGAAAATGTACAACGATAACGATTGATTCAAACTTGTTAATAATATAATTGTAAAGAATTGATACTTATATTGAAATAGTTAATAATGATAAGGTATAATAATAATGATTTATTTCATAAACGTTGATAACGTCATTGCAAAACGTTAATACTACATTGCAAGTTGTCACGAAATGAGAGGGAAGATTTTTAATTTTTAATTTCTAAGAGAAAAAATTATTAAGTTTGAATTTTATTAAATATTAAATATTAAATCTAATTAAATTAATTTCGAATTTTCTTTTAATTTCAGTGGAGAGAGAGGGTTATGGAGAAAGTTATGAGAGGAGAGAGAAAGAGAATAATCAATTATTAATATTAATTATATTTGCATAATATCCTTATTTATCCTCAACTACCTATTAACTACTAACCCCCTTATTAACTGGAGGCAAAAATCTAGGACTGAATGGCTTCAAGGAGGGGATAAGAATACGCCATATTTCCATCTTATTACATCAATTAGGCGTCAAAAAAATTTCATTGGCGGCTTAGAGGATGATATGGGTAGATGGTGCATGTTAGAGATGGAAAAATGTGACATTGCAGTGAAGTACTTTAAGGAAATCTTCCTTACCTGTAGTTTGGGGGAAATTAGTCTGGCTAACCTTCCTTTTTCTTCGATCGTTAGTGTAGATCAAAATCTGGCGTTAACCTCACCAGTGACGCCCGAGGAGATCCGGGAAGTGGTCTTTAGTATGGGTAAAACCCAGGCTCCCGGACCGGATGGGTTTACAGCTGGTTTCTTTCAGAAGTATTGGAGTATTGTTGGGCATGATGTCACTCAAGCAGTGTTAGCCTTTTTCCACTCTGGGCGTTTATTGAGAAGTTTCAATCGTACGTGGATATCTCTAGTTCTGAAAGTGGCCGAGGTTCGTACCATGAAAAATCTGCGGCCTATAAGTCTTTGTCAGGTCTTCTACAAGATCATCTCTAAGATTCTGGCTAACAGACTTAGCCTAGTGCTACCGACCATCATCTCCAAAACTCAGAATGGATTTGTTAAAGGGCGCCAGATTACTGACAATATACTCGTCAGTCATGAAATCACGCATCATCTCAAAACTATGTATTCGGGGAAAAAGTCGTGGATGGCCCTGAAACTAGACATGGAAAAAGCTTATGACCGCGTTGAGTGGCAATTTCTGCTAGAGATGATGAAGGAGTTGGGTTTTCATCCCCAGTTTGTCTCGTGGATAAGAGAATGTATTACAACAGTATCCTATTCAGTACTTGTCAATGGGATTCCGTCTGAGTACTTTCGACCGACTAGAGGGCTCCGTCAAGGAGATCCCCTTTCTCCACTACTCTTTGCCATTTGTTCGGAAGGTTTCTCGGCATTGATCAGCCAGGCTGTGTCTATGGGATTTTTGGAAGGAGTACGGATTCGTCAATCATGCCCAATGGTTTCCCATCTTTTCTTTGCGGATGATTCCTTTTTATTCCTTGAAGCCTCCTCCGCCTCATGCGCCACATTGCTATCCCTTCTTCAAGTTTACGAAGGGCTGAGTGGGCAAAGGGTCAACCTCGCCAAGTCTGCAGTCCTTTTTAGCCGGAATACACTTCCAGATGCTGCACTGTTAATGGGCACCCAATTGGGCGTTGGTGCTATTGGAGAACAAGATGCGTATCTTGGACTGCCTTCCTTACTAGCCAGGTCCAAAAGGGATGCTTTTTTGTCCATAGAGGAGAAGTTTCGCAAGAAGCTTGCTGGTTGGAAGCAGAGAATGATTTCAAGAGCTGGTAAAGATACTTTGATAAGAATTTCTGCAACTAACATACCTGTTCACGGTATGTCTTGTTTTAAATTTCCTAAGGAAACCTGTAGGCGATTAAATAGGGAGGTGGCAAGATTTTGGTGGGGCTCCTCTAGCAACTCGGACCACCCGATACATTGGGTTTCTTGGAAGGGAATCTCTCAAAGCAAATTCCAAGGAGGATTGGGTTTCAGAGATTTTGAAGCGTTTAACCAGGCACTTCTAGCAAAGCAATGTTGGCGCGTTTGGGCAGATCCAGATTCTCTGCTTAGTCAAATCTATAAAGGTCGGTACTTTAACTCTAGTTCCATCTTAGAGGCTCAGATAGGATCAAACCCCTCGTGGGGTTGGCGAAGCATGCTTTACGGTAGAGATCTTCTCCTCCAAGGAATGCGCTGGCAAGTTGGGAATGGGCATAATATTGATGCTCTTTATGATCAATGGATCCCATCTGCTAAACCAGAGAGTCCGGTGATCAAGGTGGCCAATATTAACTCATCTATAAGAGTCTCCTTTTTTATTGACGATAGTACAAGAGAATGGCACATGTCGAGATTGCAAGAATATTTTGATCCCTGCTCGGTGGATATAATTTGCAAAATGGCCCTTCCTCGGACATCACAGCCAGATATTAGAGTATGGCATTTTACCAAAAATGGCAAGTACTCAGTCAAGACAGGGTATCATCTAGCTCTTGAAGGCATTCTAGCTCCCAATAGAAAAGCCCTGGCTCTCATTATTGATCCTCCTTTGTGGAAATTGACATGGGGCATTCAGACTCCTCCTAAACTAAGGTTTTTCATTTGGCAGTGCCTAAGAGTAGTCTTACCAACGACAGTAGCGCTCCGATCTCGTGGGGTCAATTGCCTAAGGAGATGTCCTGTATGCTGGAGGAGTCGAGAGAGTATAGAACATTTGTTCTTTCATTGCCCCCTTGCCAATATGCTATGGTACTTTGTGGGATTAAGTGACATACTGGTTTCGGCCCCAACGATGAATTTTAGTATATGGTGGCGTCAAGTTATGCTTTCAGAGCAGTCCCAAACCCATATTCTCCAGATTGTGTGTCTCTTGTGGAGGATATGGAAATCAAGAAATAAAGTGGTATTCGAAAATACCCAGCCTCATGTCCGTTCGCTTGCTCGCCAATTTTCCTTTCAAGTCCGAGAAGTGCTCTCATCCTGTCTCCCTGCCTCGCCTACTCAACCTCGTGTGTTGGCCCCTTCAAGCCAGCCCTGGGAATGCCCTCCTGAAGATGTTCTGAAGATCAATTTTGATGCTGCTGTTCATGCCTCCGGTTGCTCGTCTGGTCTGGTGGTTCGTGGCTCGGATGGTCATGTGCTGCTTGCCTCAGGTTTCCAGCATCCAGGGATTTCTGACCCGTACCTTGCAGAGCTCCTTGCAGCAAGGGATGCGATCTCTCTTGTAGCTTCTAGAAGTCTGCCTCGTGTCATCATTGAGGGAGATGCGGCTGTGGTCATTCGTCAACTTAGCTTTGGTGCTGTGGAGGATTCCGTGGGTGGTACCATTCTTAGAGATTGTAGAAGTATCCTTGGGTCTTTGTCTCTTTGTATAGAATTTAGGGCGGTTCCGCGGACTGCCAACTGGGCTGCCCATAGAGTGGCACGGAAAGCCCTGTTGTTGTCTCGGCTAGAGTTAGCTTCTTTTGATTTTGTAGGTTGGATTGTTAGCGGGGTGGGGAGGGCGTTTGGGTAGTGTTTGTTCTAACTATCTTTGTGATATTACTCGGAAAAGAAAAAAAAAACCCCTTATTAACTACCTAATCCACTATCAACCAATAAAATGATTTAAACAAAATGCTTAAACGTATAGGCTTAAGCACCTGATCCTACCCGCAATTTGCCTGGGTTTACAGCCAATGAAAAGCTTCTTCTCACTAGTTACTGTCTTCAAATTTCCAACTAAACCTTTTTGTTTTTGTTAATTGAATACCACCTTTCAGATCAACGCCAATGTTTGTCCCATTGCTTTATCATAATTGCCATTGACAATGCAATATTTCTGTGTCTGAAACCCACTAACAATTACCTCTAGTTTTCTATAGACCATCCTGTCATTTAATTTCCTCCTGCTACTCTGACTATTTTTCTACAACTAAGCATTGATATTCTGATCCATTATCATATTCTGAAGTCAATACTTGCTAGTGTGCTGAGAGAAGAATTGGTGGTTGAGTGGACTGAGAAAATTGTCTATTTTGTTATGTTTGAAGCTCCTTGAACTAGCACCGGAACTTCCTTTGCTTACCAACGAGAGTTATGCTTAATCTCCAGGAATCCATCGAAGGTGGCAGGTGTCCCTGCTTTAGTGTTTTTTCACCTTTGTATATTTATCCCTTCTTTCAACAAGTTTGTTGTGCAACTTTACATTCAATGACTCTTCAGTTACCATCAACACAGTTACCAAATTATTATTATTATTATTATTATTATTATTATTATATAAATCTCAATCGTGTTTACTGTTGCCTAAGAGAGTGTGCAACAGAGTGTTTATGGTAAGTTCATTTTTAGTTAAATCTGTTCGGTTGGGCTCCGAGATTTTTTCAGAAATAGCACCTTTTAAATTTTTTTTACAAAAATAGCACCTAACCGAAAAAATTTACACTAATAACACCCTTTTTTATGGACCGCACCCTCGAGGTGCGTTTTATATATAAACCGCACCTTAGAGGTGCGGTTTATAATCATGGACCAAAACCGCATCTTGGAGATGCGGTTTCAGGTCTGATCTACAGAAACCGCGTGGCCGAGGTGCGGTTTTGGCCTGACCTAGCAAAATCGCACATTGGAGATGCGGTTTTGCCCCACAAACCGCACCCCCAAGGTGCGGTTTTGGTCAATTATTTTTCGACATGCCATGCAGAATAACAGACGTGGGTCTGCATGGCAGACGAAAATCGCACATCTAAGGTGCGGTTTTCATTAGTGATGTTGCCTATAAAAGACTTCCCCGAGAACCTCTTCTCTTCACACCTCTCCTTCTTTCTCCTTTTTCAATTTTCTGTTGTATCCCTATCTTTCTTTAATGGTTTTGCGATTAACGTTAACTCGTAAGTTTATTTTGTATTACTTTTTATTGTTTTTTTTGTATTTGTTATTTTTATGATATTAACTCAACTACGGTTTTTTTGCAGATGGTATTCCAAAAGTTCACGCTTGCCTTACGGTGGAATGGTTACACGGAACAGACCGGAAAGGGTGTCACCTACGTCGGTGGCAATTTTCAGAAGATAAAGGTCGCTATCAGACCGTTGTTTGAAGACCTCCATCAAATGAGCACTAACGTTACTTGCATGGATGACACGAGAAGAGTTGATCGTATGGTGTACCGATATCCAAACAGAGAAAGTGGGTCATTGTGGCATGAGGAATATCTCATAACCACTCAGGATGAGGTAGATGTCATGCTCGAATTGTTGAGGTCCAACAATTTTTCCAAAGCCGAGATGTTCGTTTACACCGAGCCGGTCGTAGGCGTTGGAGGTCATTCTGGACGCGGTCAAACATCTGGTATCCATGGTGGAGGTGAATTATATGGCGATCATCCCTACCAAAGTTACCATGATCCTCATTCTTATTTTCAGTACCAAGAGGAAGGTGAAGGTCATCATCAATCTTTCCCGTCATATGAAGAAGAAGTTCAACCGGACCTCCCCAACCAACCTCAGTACAACTTCCAATTAGGCAGCGCTAGTTTTCACAACTACCATTATGGAGCTGATGAAGGTGCCTTTCATGAGCTGGATCAGATGGAAGATGCCCTTCCAGCACCAGTTAGTGACCCTTCCGATGAAGAAGGAGAGAACAACATCAGTGCAGACAGCTCTGACCCTCTTGAAGGTGCTGATGATTCAGGACCAGAGTTAGACTCAGCTAATGATGATGAGGTGGCTCGTGACCGTGTACCAGTCCCCTACTACAATCACATTCCAGATGACAATTGGGTGGTCGACAGCGACATGGAGCTGCCAGAGGTCCCAGTTTTGGGACCACTCACTTGGTTTATGAAGGGCCAACAATTTGGCTCGAAGAAGGAGGCGCGGCACGCCATTGAGACTGAAGCAATGACTCGGCATTTTGAATGACACACAACTCATTCCAACACTAAAAGGCTCATAGTCAGATGCCGTAATCATCACGAGGGGTGCAATGTTAGGATTCGGGCGATCAACAGCAAGAGACACGGACACTGGGTCATATCCCGTGCGATGAACACACACATGTGTGTCATCCATAACTTCCCAAGGCCATTGACAGTTGAAATCCAGGGTGGTTGCTGTGGGCTGTGGCTATCAAGCATATAATTGAGCAAGATCAGGACCTGAAGGTGAAAGTCTTAATCGCTGACATTGCAAGTTGTTATGATTATATGATTAACTATAAGAAGGTGTGGCATGGAAAGCAGAAAGCTCTGGCCGCCGTCTTTGGTGATTGGGAAGAATCATATGCATTCCTTCCCAGGTTAATTTTGGCATTGGAGGCGTCTAACCCTGACACGGGTTTCTCCCCTCGATACCAAGATGAAGAGATACAACCCCCAGAGCCAGGTAACAAACGCCATTTTAGACGACTTTTTTGGACATTCAAGCCATCTATTAATGATTTTGGCTTCTGTGTCCCTGTGATCCAAGTGGATGTTACATTCCTTACCGGCAAGTACAAGCCACTCTCCTGATTACTAGTGGGGCGGATGCAACTAGACAAGTCTTTTTTTTATCCTTCGCCATTGTTGAGGGAGAGAATGCTGATAGCTATGGATGGTTTTTCCGGCAAATTCAGCTCCACGTCACTAGGAGGACGAACCTGACAATAATCTCTGACCGGCACGCCGACATTAGACCTGCCATCTTAGGTTTAGATTCAGCCTGTAAGTGGTCTCAAAGGTGGTGCATACGACATTTCAAGAGCAACTGGAACCATCATTTCAAGCGGAAGAAGCTTGCTGATAATTTGTGGTGGATTGGTAAGTTATCTATTAGCCTTTTAATTTTGTCAGCTAACAATATCTTGTAATCAGGAGAGTGATGCACTTGTTAGACTCTTTCTAAAGATAGGCATGCCTAAGGAAATGAGGTTTTAAGTGATTATCATGGTCCTCCCGTTTCCTGGGAAAATCGGGTTTTAAGCGATCTTCGGATCCCCCCTTTTTCTGTCAAACAGACTGTTTCTAAGGAGATATATACCTCTTAAGAGTCTAACGGGAGTACCTCCAGTTTGTTCGAATTGTGTGGACATTTCATAAAGATGGAGGGACAAGATGTGGTATTCCCACAGCGATCTTAGGCGAGAGTATCAACTCTGTCTACAAGGTCGTTCATGCACTGCCAATCTCTGCCATTGTGGAGATGACTTTTTGGAAAACGAATGCATGGTTTGTCAATCGACTCCACTGGGCAAGGACAAACGAGGCACAGGGAAATGTCTATGCCTATAAAGTCATGAAAGTAATGGAGAATGACAATCGCAAGCGATGTCGACATAGTGTAACCGTTATGAATCGGGCAAATGGCGAGTATAGCGTGACTATCGGACATCGGGAGAATGGTAGACCCGGGGGGGGGGGGCACCGCCATGAAGTTTTGGTCAATTTTAGAACAAAAGTTGGTGAGTGCTCATGCCAGAAGTATCAGGGGAGAGGGTGGCCTTGTTCTCATGCAATGGCCGTAATTAAAAACATGAGCAAAGACCCCCGTCAGTTCGTTAGTCCATTCTTCAATATCGACTCACTCAAAAACACCTATGGACGGAGTTTTCGTGCATTGCCTGATGAAGCTTATTGGCCGCTGTACGAAGGAAAATTGATCATCCCGCCGTTCGGACAGAGGAAATGGATCAAAGTGGAAGACCACCACGAGGCCCAAGGCGATGTTCAATATGCAAAGTTCCAAGACATGATAAACGAAGGTGTCCAGGACCGATTTGTCTGCAAAATCCGGGTCATGATGTGGCGGACTCAGCTAATGCGATATAGTTTGCGGTTATCATTCTTCAAGCTAGTTAAGACTCTTACTTTGCAAGTAAGTGTGAATTGTTGATTGAACGAATTGGGATAATATCAAGATAAGATGAGTGCTCATGCCAGAAGTATCAGTGGAGAGGGTGGCCTTGTTCTCATGCAATGACCGTAATTAAAAACATGAACAAAGTCCCTCGTCACTTCGTTAGTTCATTCTTCAATATCGACTCACTCAAAAACACCTATGGACGGAGTTTTCGTGCATTGCCTGATTTAACTTATTGGCCGCTGTACGAAGGAAAATTGATCATCCCGCCGTTCGGACAGAGGAAATGGATCAAAGTGGAAGACCACCACGAGGTCCAAGACGATGTTCAATATGCAAAGTTCCAGGACATGATAAACGAAGGTGTCCAGGACAGATTGGTCCGCAAAATCCGGGTCCTAATGTGACGGACTCAATTAATGCGACATAGTTTGCGGTTATCATTCTTCAAGCTAGTTAAGACTCTTACTTTGCAAGTAAGTGTGAATTGTTGATTGAACGAATTGGGATAATATCAAGATAAGATGAATAGTTCCAAGTACATAGAAATAAAAATAAATTGAAACAACACTCAATTAAATAAACTAAGATAATAGAAATAGTTCCAAGTACATAGAAATAAAAACCAAATTGAAACAACACTCAGTTAAATAAACTAAGATAAGGGGAATAGTTCCAAGGACATATAATTAAAATTCAACTCAAAATACATCTCAAGGAAGTCCACGAGCTTAACCGGAATCCACGGTTTTCTTGCTCCTTGTACGTTGGCCGACGGGAGTAACAACAGGTGGTTGCAGTGGCAAGTTTCGAATGGCCGAGGTAGTGTGGCGCTCATCGGTGCTGTGTCGGCGGGAAGGCGGCGCTTCTGGGGTCGAGCGGGGGACATCCGCGCTCATATGGTAGGAGTAGGAGGCCACAGCTGATGAGGGCGAGTCAATGGGTTGAATTCGTGGGGCGCCGTCGTGGAGGAACCATCATGCCAAGTACCCGATGATGTTTGGCGCGGAGATGGGGGGTAGACCGGGCGGGAATCGTAGTATGTTTGGCGGGGATCGTTGTATGAGATCGGGGTGGGATCATATGGGGATTGATGGAGACTTGGAGGGGATTGATGGTAGGTCGAGAGGGGATCGTAGTATGAGCTTGGGTGGGGATCGTTGTGGTAGGAGGGGCGGAACTCTTGGGATGAGCTCGGGCGGGGATCTTGGGCGAAACTCGGGCGGGGAGCTTGGGTGGAACTCGGGCCGGCACCATGTGTCACAACCAATGGGGGCGGCACTTTCCACGCCTGATATGGCGTTACGTTGGGCCTTTCCCGAACCCTCTTGCTCTTCTTTCTCTCGTATGGTGGTGGGGGATCGGGGACATCAACTTGTACCGGAGGTGGCTAGGGTGCGGGCATGGGCGGATATCTACGATGATCCCGACCCTGAGCTCTGATACAGCCAAGCAGACTGTTTGCCATCCTCCTGATGAAGCTCACATCTTCATTGCGCAGCTCAACTCTCCCAGTGGTCATATCTTTGATCCGCTCGATCCCATCAGCCTAAATCACAAAAAAAGAAAATTAGAAAAAAATTTAGGAACAAAGTAATAAATTTAATTGTTTAGACGGAATATACTTAGTAATGCACCATCGGCCGCACCCTCCAGAGTCATGTAACGTACCAATGTTTGCCGATATCGATCCAAGTATGGGTCATGATATTCCATTCGACCCACTTGAGCTGGAGTGACAATATGTATTTGTCGGTTGTCCCACGTCGTGTTGAATTTCGCCGACTTCGTGGGCCATTCGCGAGTACCTTGCCGACCATCTCGACCATGAAAGACCCTTTGACTATCGGGGACCTCCAACGGAATGCACTGCTCCCGACCAAACTGACGGAGGCATCGATCCGGCAAGTGCCACTTCACGGTCCCAAAACAAATTAGAGGGACCCTCGTGCACCATTGCCCGATATGACAGGGGAATTGCTGGAGATGCCAATGAACGATGTTCTCCGGGTATGGATCGAAGACGATCTACAAGAAAGAAATGAGTAACTTAAGATAGTCAGAATTGGAAAAATACATGTAGTCCATGGAAAAAATATATAAATCGATCGAAGTATAGAAGTTACCTCTCCTTCCCAAAGTCGCTCAAACCTCCTCCGATACTCGTCCAACTTGCGTTGGGCAAGGTTGTCGCATGTTGTGTGTCCGAGCCACCTTATTAACAAGACAATAATGAAACTACAATAAGCTAAAACACAAGGGAGAATGTGTTATGAAAAACATGATGGGGTATGAGAAGTTTACCTTGTACCATAAGTTTCACCTCTTAGGGGATGATCGATTGGCCAATCCCTGTCGGGACGTTGGACCGGTGCAATCCATGACATATGCTCACAAGCCCAATATTAGACGATAAACATTGCGCCGCTGACCTCCCTCACAGCTTTTAGAGACGCATTGCACAAATTGTGGTAGATATTAGCTACACAAGCGGATGCCCAGCTATACTCCCCCATCTCCTCCCAACTACCGAGGATGATCATAAGCCATCCACAGCTAAGGAGATTGCTTGATTTTTTGGAGAAAAACACTCCTCCGATCATGCCTATGAGATAGACACGAGCATATATTTCCTTCTCATTCTCCGGACTTTCCTCGGTTAGGGGATGACTCTCGTAATGGTCTCTAAAATACTTCGTCAACCAAGTAATTGAGACTTGGTGTTT